AAAAAAGTGTAAAACAGAGATAAAATTTTTTCATGGAAGTGTTAATATGCTAATTGCTTACAATTATGCATTAAGAAGGGCGTGGTTAAGTTAATTAATAATTATTAAATAATTAAAATGGAAATAAATATAATAGTATTTGCTATATATCTAAAAAAATTTAAAACAAAAATGACTCTTGCATTCATAAAATGCAAACAACTTACACTGAAAAGCAATTGTAACTTGCAGTAGAACAAATCAAGTAAAGTGAAATATCACTCAGTAAAGCTTCAGAGGCATACAAATTCAACTCTTCATAAGTTGGTGCACAACAAGTCCAGTCACATGGTAAAGGAACAAACTCCATGCTAAGTACAGCATTGAGTTTGTTCTTGTTTCAGTAATTATCAGTTAGGCTGATTGGGGATTTGGCGGAATGTTCACAGGTGTCATTACAGTAGTTGTGAGATATTTGGTTTCTGCAAATCAAAGTCATCTGTTTTTACCAAATCAGGACAAGAATGGTATCAAGGTTTCAGGAAACAATGGAGTTATAAATTAAGTGTCAGAGTAGCAGGCAAGAGCAGAGCTTCTTTTTGTACCAAAGACAAAATAGCACTTTTTTAATAAATTTCAAAACACAAAATTTCAATACACTTTAAAAACAATTTCTTGAAGCAAATATCAACATATCAATATTTGTGCAACTTGTGGAATTTTGACAAAATTGGATTTTCAGGCAATCAAGGTAAGCAGCATATAATTTGCAGGCTTGTTGCTAAACACCTTTTAAAGTTGGTTTATAACAAACTAAAAAGTCAATTACACAGTTGGTAATTGTATCAATGCTACTGGTACTATTCTGCCACCATTCATAGTTTACAAATTAATTTCACATCTGTACAAAGACTGGTGTTTAGGGAGACCACTAAACACCATACTCTTGAGTACTTAATAAAAGAATGGGAGAGCTTTATTAATTTTAGGAAAATTTTCCTACCCACCCCAAGCTCATTAAGTCATTAATTTTTACTTGTTATCAGCAAAATCTCAAAACTAAAGAGAGAAAAAAAAATTAGTGAAAATCGACCTTAAAAATTGAAAAATAATTCTTTCAGTCACTGATAAAAACAAAAACTTTCTGTGTAAACAGGCTTTAAAAATTCCTATCTAGTAAATTTGTCAAAAATGAGCTCTTGGTTTATTTCTCACAAAAGTATAAAACTTATATTAGCATATTAAATCCTATTGAAATTATGATAAAATAGCTTTTAGAAAATGTGCAAGCCAGGCTAGAATTAATTAGTTTTATGTCTGTTTTCTTAAAAATATTAGTTTGGAGTTTGGAATTATAAACTGAAATAAACAATACTTATATTTTAACATATAAAGTTACCACACATACACACACACACACACGTTTATTGAATATGGACTAAAATTCCCCCTCCTCCCCCTCCCTTCTTCCTAAACATCCCCCCTCCCCTCTTCCCCCACCTTTTCCTCCTTCCCTCCTCCCTCCTTGTAGTAAGGATTCAAGGGTATTTAGAACATCCTAGTTGGGCACTGGGTGTGTTCAAAAAAATAAAATTTTCAAAACGCAAATACACAAGAAGCCAAATTTAGGGCAAATTTTAAAAAAATATGATTACAAAAATAAGGATATTTACCTAAGGGTTTTTTGCCTATTATGCTAAATACCCCAAAAAATGCTCCAACTTGTTCCTAAATTATTTGGCTTTAAGCACAAGGTAAATCTCAATATTTTGTGAAACTTTTTTTTCTAATGTGATTATAATGATCTTAAGTTTTATTTTAGATTTTTATCCTAGTTTTTTCATAATTGTTGTTTATATTAAATAAGATTTCGTGAAAAAATAATTTTACGCAAATACGCAAAAAAATAATTTTGCACAAATTTGCTTAAAAATATTGTTTTATTTTTTTGCATTAATTATGTGAAATCATTTTTTATTTTAAATAACAATTAAGAAAAACCAGGATATGCAAAAATTTAAAAAAAACCTTTGACCATTATGGTCACATTAGAAAAAAAAGTTTTACAAAGTATTGACATTTATTTGCGCTCAATGCTAAATAATTTAGAAACAATTTAAGGCATTTTTCAGGGTATTTTGCCACTTGACCACAAGGTAAATGTCAATTTTTTTTTTTTTTAATTTTTTTTTTTTTTGTAATCTTTTTTTTTTTTTTAATTTGCCCCAAATTTGGCTTCTCGTGTATTCACATTTTAATAATTTTTTTTTTTTTGAACACCCCTATTGGGTGCAGATGAAAAAGAAATAATTTATTCAATGGTTTGCTAAAGTATGTTATACTGGCAATCAAAAGTTACATTGGTCTGCCAATCAAAAGTTACTTTGGTCTAATCAATACTGTAATCAATACTGTAAAAATCAATACTTTAATAAATTGGCAATCAAACTGGTAGTTACTTTAATAAATTGGCAATCAAACTGGTAGTTACTTTAATAAATTGGCAATCAAACTGGTAGTTACTTTAATAAATTGGCAATCAAACCGGTAGTTACTTTAATAAATTGGCAATCAAACTGGTAGTTACTTTAATAAATTGGCAATCAAACTGGTAGTTACTTTAATAAATTGGCAATCAAACTGGTAGTTTGGTCTACTTAAATTAAGTAGTTTAATCAATTAATCATTTAATAAAAAAAAAAATTAATTACAATATTTACATTACAAATTTTAATTACAGGTATTTAGTCTAGGACAAACACACTGTCGCACATGTTCCTTACAATGTTGCATGTATTTGCATTGACAATAACATCAGGCTGATATGATTACGAGCTCATTCATCCCACACACTTCAACCATTATTTATAGGTCAGGGTTCCCACTCCTCTTTAAAAAACTTAAATATCCTTAAAAAAAAAAACCTCCTTAAATAACCTTAAAAAAAGTTAAAATTTGACTGCTCTCCTTAATTTCTCCTTATTTTTTTATTTTTTAATCATCTAAGAAATTTTATTAAAGTAAACAGATTTACACAGGTCAACAAAAAAAAAAAAATTCTGGTGCCGAGCACACAGTTTATTTTTTGTATAGCATTTTGATTTCAAATATGCAACTCATTTTTCACTATCACGTCAAGTTGTAAAATCTCTAATATTGTCAAAAAAAATATTATTCAAAAGTATTTCAACCTGTGTCTCAAAAGCAGCATATTTTCATTGAGATTTTAGAAAACATAAATTGTTTACTTGTGTTATATTTATTAATAAAAAATATATATAGTTCTTAGATAGTTTGCAAACCTATATTTTTATTTTATATATATATATGTGTGTATATATATATATATATATATATATATATATATATATATATATATATATATATATATATATATATATATATATATATATATATATATATAAAGTAATATATTAATTTATAATAATTTCTCTGTTTATTTAAAATTCATTTAAAAAAATAAAACTCTGTTTTTAATGTAATTGTTTTCTCCTTAATTCTTCTTACTTTTTCTTTCAAAAAATTGTCGTTCATCATCAAATCTCCTTAAATATTAGGAAAATATCTCTATGAATCTCCTTAAAATCCTTTCTTTTATCCTCAGTTTTAATAGTGGAACTCTGTAGGTGTATATGTCATGTTAAGTGATTTTAGTGCAAATTACTTACAGAATTTTATCCAGCTGCAAATTTCAACAAAAGAAAATTTCATTAAACTACAAGCTTAACATTTTAGCTCTGGTGTTTTACACAATTAATTGCTGTATTTCAACACACTGGTTTGTTTCTATTTGATATTAGCAAAATTGATTTATCAAAAATGAAAATTACTTAAACATTTCAAGTACCATCTCAGCCTGCATCTTTATCCAACCCTGCTTCATTCTCAACTGAGCCAGCTTCATCATCCTCATCCCAGCCTATATCATTATCTAACATCAGTCAGCGTCAAACTCCAACAATTTGCCAACTTCAAAATTTATCTAGGTATCTAGGTACATCTGAGGGGCCCGAAAAACTAAAGCAAGACAATGAGAGGTCAAAAAGTCAAAGCAATTAAAGAAGCGCAAGATTGACTTTAGTGAAGCTTCAGATGAAACTCACCAAGTTCAACATTCAAAAAAGCTGTGACAAGATAAAGACATCAAAAGGTGCAAAAAGTGTTGCCGAGTTTGGGAAGAAGTATTGCCAACTCAAAACAACATGTGGTACAATGTGAAGCTTTTAGTTGCAAGTCTTGCGTTTGTCGATCATGTTTACCCAAAAATACAAAATTGGTGAAGAGTTTTTTTTGGCATGAAAAAAGTTGCAAACTTGCTTCTGACTATGAAACAACTAAAATTTATTTAATAGCTTTTTTTGTATATTTGAGTAAAATAGTTAAATGCAAACTTAATTTCTCATAAGATAAGTTTTCCTTTTATTTTTAATTAAAATTGATTTAGTTTACTTTTCTCTAATTATAAGGGGAAAAGTAAAAGTTTTTTTATTTTATTTTATATATTTATATAATGGAAAAAATCTCAACAAAGCAAAACAAATTAAACCATAAAATAATTTTTTCTTTAAAAAAATAATTGAACTTGAAGCTAAGCTGTTTTACTCTTCCAATTATTATTATTATTATTATTGTTATTATTATTATTATTATTATTATTATTATTATTATTATTATTATTATTATTATTATTATTATTATTATATAATTAACTATAATTATGCACACAATTTTATAATTTTTTTATTAAAAAAAGTAAATATAAATTTAAAGCAAAATGGTTGTTGCTGTTCTTGATGGATTTTGATTTTTTGACATTTTCTATTTTAATCCACCTTTAAATTTTAGGCTTATTGTTCTTAAAATTTTTCAAAAATTTTTATTTGTTTTTAAAAAGTATTTTAAAAAATACTGTAAAATTAATAAAAATTTTTTACTCCTTAAACTTTTATAATCTTATTTGTTTGAATGTTTTATATAACATTTAAAATTTTTCATTTAAGGTACCAGACTCCCATTTAAAGGACTATAATGAGCAAATATTTGATGATAATGATTTCTATCATGAGGTAAATAGTTATTATATTGACTTTTATTTTTTATTCAATGCTTTACTCAACAAAGTTTTAATTTTTTTTTAGATGTTAAAAGAGTTGATAGAAAGGAAAACTAATATTGGTTCTGATGATCCTACTACTCTTGGCAGGTAAAATTTGACAAATAGATTTTTAGTCAGTAAATTATTAAGCTAGTCTTTAATAAGTCTTTAATAACTCTGATTCAATTAAGCTTGTCTGATAAATTTTTGATCTGAAAGGCTGAGAGGGTGATTCTCAAGACTTGTAAGAGCAGAAAATTTTTTAAAATAGTTTAATGTAATTTGTAGGAAGAAGTGTGTAAGAAGGATGTAGAAGCAAACACTTAAACATAATCTAACTCAAAAAAGTCTTTTCATAGATCTAATAAAAAAAAAATTTTTTATGTTAGGCAATGGTTGGAAGTTCAAAAACTAAGAAAAAAGATAAAAAGAAAAATTGATACAAGAGCTAGTAAAGGTCGTAAAGTGAGGTAAACTTTTTCCAATACAATCACCAAAATAATTTTTTTTTTGCTTCAACTCTGGTGAGAAATATAGTATATAGCAGTATAAAATATATATAATACTGATAAATTTAGTATTCTACAAGATAGATATGTATATATAAGATAGATATATTTATACGAGAGCACTAGCATAAGTGCACTATATAGAGACAAACTAAGGTTGGCATTATCCTAGGGCAGCACTACTCAATGTTTTGTGCACTTTGATTTAAATCTTTTTGATGACTATTTTTATCAAGTGGTTATTTTTATAAAGACAGACAAAAAAATATTGTTCTAATAAATAAAAATTTTTACTTGCTCAAACCTAAACGTTCATTGGATGTATCTACTAAAGCCTTACAAATGTATGATGTCATCGGTGATATTTTTTACTCAGCTAGCAATCTTCTTCGTTTGAAATTTAATTAAGTTTGACATTTTTAAGATATACCGGCGCGATTTAAAAAAATCATTTTTTTCTGCTATTTAGATTAAAATTAAAATAGCGAAAAGAATGCTTTAAATTAATATTAAATAAAATAATTTTAAAAATTTGGTAAAAGCATTTCAAAAGAAATAAACAAATAAACATATAAGTTTTGTTGCAATTTAAAATAATGCTTTTATTTTCTTGGTAAGCGCTTTTTCATGCCCTCACCAAAGTTTTTGCAGGCGTGTGGGCGAGTGCAAAAAGACTTAAGCATGACAGCGATATATTGTATGTTGTTTCTGTTTTGCTATTTATTAAATACTTAACTTAATTCTTCTGTCTGAATTTGTTTGCATTTTTATGTAATTGTAAATAGATATGATGTCCACCCAAAGCTAGTAAATTTCATGGCTCCTCAAAAGGATGGGAAAATGTCAGATCAAGCCAGGTACCCTTTTTAATTTAAATAGCCCAGTTTTCACTGTTTATATATACATATTGCATGAAGTTACAATGATATCAAGCCAAAAGAAAAAATTATAAAATTTTTATTAAGCTTCTTGTGTATAAATCACTTTAAAAACATGTTGATATCATTTCATAACCTCTATTTACTAATAATATTTTCTAATCTCTAGTAATCTCTATTTCTTTGACAGTCTTTATTCTGTATTCTGTCTTGTTTATTTTGTATTCAAGTTATGATTAGTTTTATCAAGATAAAAGGATTTATTGTATATTGAATAAAATAGTTAAATTAGATACTTAATTTTATCATATATTATATTTATATTTATGTTATATAATAAAGTAAAAAAATACATGTATTCCTACATAGTACAGTGGGTGGCAAAATTATTAGGGACGCTAAATTATTAAAATAATTAGGGACTTTTTTATTTTAAAGTTTGAACTACTTAAATGATTAAATACGTATCTTGTTATTTATGTATCTTCTGTCTACGTTATTTTTTATTATTTTTATCATTAGAGGGCTTTATTTCGCATATAAAACAACATAATTACTTCTTCATAGCTTTTTTTTTTTTTTTAAAAAAAAAAAAGTTTCAAAATAAAAAATAAGGTAATAATTTAATATTTTGTAATGCCACCCTTGCTTCAATAACGGCTATCTTTCTATGCAGACGTTTACGTTGTGCTGGAAACTGGGGTTGTTATGCCAGCAACAGTACTCCAGGAGGCTGTTTTACAGTACTTGCTTGTACTAGTCCTGCCTCATGGTCCCTTCCACAATGTAGAGGGAACCCATCACAGTGGGCCTAAAAAGCCTTTTTTTGCAGACATTGGTTTATAACTTTTGAACAGAAAGTGCTCTGGGATTGATTATAGACTTATTGGAAAGGTTTTTATGTATAAATTTTGAAAAAACTAAAAAATAACTTTGCTGCAGGATATTTAGGTCATAATTTAAAATATATATAGTATATTGAATATTTCTTAAAATTTGCTTTTTTATTGGTTATAACAAAAAATATGTATATGTACTTATAAATATGTATATATATTTTGTAATACAACAATAACATAGGTACATCAAAATAATAAAAATTTTTAAAAGAAGTGCTGAAATACATAATTTATTCATATCTTAACATTTTGAAATGTGTTATCTTCAGATAATGTTATTAAAGACATTTTGTTTATGACAATATTTATCAGAATGTTCTCTTTCATTGCAAAATTTGCAATATGGTTTTGACTTGTATCTCTTGTCAAAAATAATTTGATCAGATGATATCCACATTCAGTTAACAGTGTCAGTTAAATTGCAAATTTAGGAGATTTTTCTTGAGAGTCTATATGTATCATTCTAATTAATATTTTATTACCTTTTAACCTGTATCATAAAGATTTCTCAAACCACTTTTCTTTTTATTCAAAATTAGCTCCCAAGAATCACCAATCAGTTTGTGAAGTGATAGTGTTATATTGATCAATGGTCCAGGCAAATTTATTTTTGTAACAGACAGAAACATGTTAAATGAGAATAAAAAAAATTAAAAGTTCGATAAAAAAAATTTATGTGGATCAAAAGTTCAACTTGGTTCGAATTCTCTATTGAGAACAACAATTGAACTTTTGAAATGTTGAATGATATTGATATGGCAATTGTGCAATAATTAAATATTTGATTTTTTGTGCAATAGTTCTCTAGCTATATAACCTGTTGTTGTTCTTCTTTTTCCAATTGTATAAGGGTAGTCCCATTTTATACTTGTTTATTTAAATATCTCTGTTTGTAATAATATCTCTGTTTGCTTTTTTGAAGAGTGAAAATGGACAGAACATTGTCAGTATGATATTGCTATTGTTAACATTTTCTCTTTAATTAAAAATTGCGTGCTTCCTCTACCATCAAATCCAAACTTTATTTTCATTTGTATATTTTCAAAGTTTATATTTAAAAAAATGTTCTCCAATAACCTTTGCATCGTCAGTTTAATTGCCTGAAATAGGCCAAAGTAAACACCAGAATTAGGTTCAGAATAATTCATAATAATTGGTGTTACTTTAGATTGATTTCTTCTGAGATGTTTCCAACTAGACAATATATTAAAACAAACAGTTAAAAGAGTTTTTTTTGTTTTGTATATGAATGTCTACTAAGAGCACAATCTGTTTAAATTGGAATTTCAATCTGTTTCTATTGGAACCTTATTGAAAGAGTTATTCTTTAACATACTTGTCAAGCAAGGTGTCCTTACCAGCCTTGAACTGTATGCCAGCATTTTTTAAGTTTGTTTTTATTCAAATGCAGATTTCTGAACTAATGCTTTTTGTGCAAATTATCAGTATACAACCTGTTATATTGCAGAAAGTTTTTGGTTGTTAATTTTCCTCAGCAATAAAAGTTTCAAATAAGTCAAATTCATTGAGCTTCATTATTATTAAAATAAAGATATAAATATTTTTGTTGATTCATTATCTAATAACTTTTTAAACAAAATGATTTAAACTTCAAATAATATAAATCAAAACATAAACAAGTTTATGTGATAAGTAAAAATATTTTATTACTATATACACCACAAATCCATCAGTTTTAATTTTAACTCTTGCAATACGTTCATTTGAAAACAGATTTAATGCTGCAATATTTTTTTTTTATTAATGGTTGTATTAACTAGATTAAATTTGATCAATAATAAAAGTTCAATAGAAATAAGAGCAAGGGGGGGGGAAGGGAAGTGGAGGTGTTAGTCAAAAATTGGTCCAAATCCTTTTTTTATATTCTAGACATACACTTTTACTGAGCACATCTTCCCCTTTTAAAAAATATGTACAAAATAATGTAAAACTATTTGCATTAATATTTTTTAATATATTCTATAAAAATTTTAATTAAAAGGGTTGGGTCATTCTTTTTCTTTTTTTATTTAAAAGTGCTAAGTTGATTTTAAATTAAATTTAGTTAAAAAACATCTTATTCCTCTTTGTTATAGGAGTTGTAAAATATATGGGTTTACTAGTGCCAACTTAGCACTTTTTGAGATAAATTATTTTTTCTGATAAAAACTTAGTTAAAAAACACTGTGATTTGTTAAGTTTTAGTTGTTTCATTAGGTATTACATGATTTTCTTCTTCATAAATTATTGCACACAAATTTTGTGCATTAATCTATAAAATTAACATTCATATTTCCATAAACTGCAGTCTAAGATTGTTTCTATATACAATTATTACATTAGCACTGCTTATATAGTGACATTTTTTTATATAATGCTAAAAGTGACTTTTATGTATTATTTATACCTATTACCTATCTTTTGTAACAAATTTAAGTTATTTTAACTAGTATAGTTTCTAAATAAATTGTGCTTTTAAAATAATTTTTAATGAACTGGAAATTTATTTAGCTTTCAATAACAACTAACATAAATTTTTTTTGGCAACATTGATTTTTGAGCAATGTCATCTGTTTGGCCATACCCATAGCTGAGATAACAGATCACACCATTATACTTAAAGGATGTTTAACCTTTTCCTGGGCGTCATCCTTGAGCTTTTCTTCACCAAAATTTCAAATATTGACTCATCTAAGAAGCCAACGTGTAAAATATTACAAAAATATTTTAAATAATAAAGCTATAATTTTTTATAATATATATATATATATATATATATATATATATATATATATATATATATATATATATATATATATATATATATATATATATATATATATATATATATATAATTTTTTTAGGGTTCTTACAATATTATAAGTTATATTTACTCTATTCCAGTCTTCAACAGTCAATTTCTGGTGTTTTCTAGCCCATTCCAGTCACTTTTTTTTTTTTATGGTTTCAGTTAAACTTGGTTTTTTGGTTAAACGACGACCCATTAGCCAAACATCTCCAAACCATCTTTTTGGAGACGTCAGTTCTTTCGTTGTTTATCATTGTAGCTAGTTGAGCCACGCTTTTTTTAAACAGATGTTTCTGATTTTACTGTCACAACATGGAGTAGTGATTCTTTTTCTGCCACTTCTGCTAATGCAGCCTGGTTCTAGGAGCACATTGTATCGATTTTTTATTCAATTCAGTTCACTACTGACTTTGAAACACCTGTAATTGCTGTTATCTCTTTCTGAGAATGTGTAGAATGAAGAAGTAACATTTTTACTTCCCAACTTCCCAGATATAGTGGACTGAAAGTATTGCCACTATTTAAAAACAATATGAGTTATATCAGTAACTAAATTACACAAAAGAAATTATTTTAAAACAATTTATTTGCTCGCAAAATTCATTTAAACTTTAAAATTACAAAAAAAGTAAAGTTTCCCTAATGATTTTGACTGTATTAATATTAGTATATTAATATTACCACTAGCAGTAAGTAACCCATAAAATGGATCTTTATTGATTGGGTTATCAAAAAATACTTAATAACTTAATAATAACCTAAAATGGTACTATTAATAATGCACAATAACCCCAAAACAAATATGTATGTGCTATGTATAAAACACTTCATTTAAATACCCAAAGTTTTTTTTGTGGGGTATCAGAAATAGAAAGCCCTCCATCATTTTTTACATTTGTTACATTTTCTGGAACACTGTATCAAGATTAGTTAAATTTTACAACAAACGCTTACAACAAATGACTACATCAACATGAGCTATAATAAAATTTTATTGGTAATATGACAAATATGACATTCTATACAAAATAGCACCATAATTTAACTCGTTTTGTAGTGTTATTATCTTTAGTAGATGTAGTTGTACCTAGTTTTAATTTTTTTTTTTTTATTGAAAAAAAATAATTCAAGAATATTTTTTTGGACTTTATATATATATATAACATATATATATATATATATATATATATATATATATATATATATATATATATATATATATATATATATATATATATATATATATATATATATATATATATATATATATATATATATATACATATATGTATATATATGTATGTACGTATGTATATATATATATATATATATATGTATGTACGTATATATATATATATATATATATATATATATATATATATATATATATATATATATATATATATATATATATATATATATATATATATATATATATATATATATATATATGTATATGTATGTACGTATGTATATATATATATATGTATATGTATGTACGTATGTATATATATATATATATATATATATTTATATATATATATATTTATATATATATATATATATATATATATATATATATATATATATATATATATATATATATATATATATAAATTCTACTTTCCTGAATAATTTTTGGAACCATTTTATATATTTAGATAATCAAATACGTTATTTAATTGTGAAAATTTTTTTTAAATAAATAATGTTAAAGTTAAATTATAAAAATTTTAAATTTTATTAGAAGTAGCGTGTACAAGAAAAGTTGAAATATTGAATCTGGGGTCGATGTTAGAAAACTTTTTACCGGCGTAAAATGCTACTGGCGTTTTTATGATTTTTGTCAATGTTATAAAATATTTTCAAAAATTAGCTGCGATAAATTTTCTACTGCTGAAACGTTTACCTTCGAAAAATGTTCCGGAGGAGGTAACTACGGAAATTTCTGTTAAAGATCCAAAGATATGAAATTTATTTTTAGAAACCTGTGGTTCAGAATGTTTTTGAATCTTTAACTTAAAAACATTTTGTTTTTGACTACCTTTTATGTCTTGACAATGTTATTGATCCCGACAATAGATTTTAAAAAATAAATTCAGGGCATAGATATCTACAAAATTTGATGCGGAAAAGTTTTATAAATTTGAATTGAAAAACATTTTACGACTAACTTTACAGCTGTAAAAATTCCCAGAGGTAATATTTCCGCCGGTAACATATTACGCCGGTTAGTATTTATAGCTGATTACAAATTGAAGTGAAAAATTATTTTCAATTTTAATTCGATAATATGGAACAATATTGATTCTTTAAAAATGTAAGACATAATTGGGATGGGTTAATTATTTCTTGCAACTTGTAAAGACAATCCGATGGAAAAGATCAAACGAGAGAGCAATATCATTTGAATGTTTCATTAAAAATTGAATAAGCTTTATTGACGTCATTCTATAACAATAATTTATTTAATGACGTTATTAACTTCCATCAAAACGTGGTTTATAATTGATTTCACTTTTTTATTAATAACTTAATGACATTAATACTCCATAGTATTTATTTGATTTAATATTAAAAGTTTTTTTTTTTTTTTTTTTTTTTTAATTTAAATCTAATTAAGTTAATATTTATTTTGAATTGAGCAATTTTTTTTTTATTTGTTTTGTATAAGCGAGTATTAATCTCACTTTTTTTGTTGATAAATTTTTTCAATAATATTTTAAATCATATGGCTTTACTCACATTAAAATTATAATAAAAAAATATTTTGAACTATATAAAAAATATTATTCACTCTAATAAAAATTCCTTCTATAAATAAAGTTGTTTGTTGCCAAAGTTTTATCTTCATGAATGCGAATCAGACATTTATTCATTTATTTATAACTAATGACGTGCAATTTAGGTTGATGTGAGCATTGATTTAAGTTTTTAATTTAGGTTGATGTGAGCGCCTAAAATTTAATAAGCTGTTTTGCTAAATTTTTTGTTACAAGAATACTTGCTACTTTCCGACTGTAGAAGACAATCCGGTTCTAATTGATTTAACGTAGATACTCAAGTTACTAATAATAATATTAGTTACCAATATAAGGAAGATTTTTTATATTAATTTTTATTTTGGGCGCCCTAAGTAAACACTTAAGCATTGTTTAGTTGTTGTAAAGTCTAGGACATATAGTTTTTATACTTTATTCAAAACTAACAAAAAAGCTTCACGGTTTTTAATTTTGCATAATTGTGTTGTCCAATAATGTTTTTATATAAATCTATTTTGTTGTGCATTCTCAGAAACTTATTCTGTTGCGCATTCACATAAATATATTTTGTTTTGTTTTCATATAAATTTTTTTTTATTAAGAATTCATAGATTTATTTCGTTTTGCATTTAAATTTATTTTGAACCTCAAAAATAAAGTGAATAACACTCTAATGTTTTTCATAATATACAGATATATAGTAAATATTTTATATAGTTTTAAAATATTAAATAACATTTATAGATGCTATTTATAAATTAAACAGTTTTATGCGAGAAATTTTGTTAAACCTGCAAATACATAAAATGTATCCTGCTTAAAAAAATAAAAGCTAACAAAATCAGACTTAACATTGAAATAATTTAAGTCATATTTTAAAAGAACTTTATTTGGATAATACTTTTCATCTTTTTTAATTTTATGTTTTATGTGCAATAGGAGATTACTTGAATTTTTAAAACTATTTTATAAATTTTTTATCAATATAAAATGTCTTTTAAAAACTGCATCGACGAACTGTACTTTTTTTTCTCAACTCTACATTTTTCTTGTGATTAAATTAATTGTTTTTAATAGTAATTAAATTGTGATTAAATTCATCGTCTTTAATATGCTTTTAAAATGACCTATAAAATTGAGTGAAAACTTGCATCATCACCTTTTACAATATGACCTTAATAGTTGTATCATCATTTTTAATAGTTGCATCATCATTTTTAATAGTTGCATCATCATTTTTATTAGTTGTATTATCATTTTTAATAGTTTTATTATCATTTTTAATAGGTTCATCATCATTTTTTAAGATTAAACTGAATTAAAATAATCTTTTTAATTTTTTTCAATTAAAATTTTTACTTTTGATCTATAGGACTTGATTTCAAAGTAATAAAAAATTTATAAATTTAAAAGTATTTTAAGTATTCCGTCAAACTTTTCCAAAAATCTTTTTTGGTTGCGATTTGGTTGCACGTTATATTTACAGATATGAATAACATAAAAATAAAGGCTAATTCGACTGGAATATTCTAATATTCAGCGCATTTACTTATGTGTAATGATGCCAAGCTCCATATTTAATCAAAAACCTTTTTTTTTTAAATAAAGAAATTAAATTTTTCTGTTAAATGTTAGCAAGCAAAACATAAAGCATTCCTACTTATTGTGTTAACAGATAAAAATTTATTTTGCATTGTTGTCGATCGCTTAATACTAAAGAGTGACATCTAACCTGAATAAACTATTATTTTTTAAAATTTGTTAAGTTTTTTTTAAATCCTCCTCTTATCAGCAACATCTGAGTTGTCCTTTCAATGTAATTTGGCTTCAATTCACATTCAATTTGTTTTGCAACTATTATTATTTTAAATAGTTACGGTTAAATAAATAAAAAATATAAAAATTAGATTAATTGAAAAAAAAAATGACTTCTCAAATAATAAACACCTTTTTTCTTTTAGAAACGATCTTTTTTCGTCGCTGTTTGGTCAGACAAGTGGTCTTGTCACCCGATAATCAGGTGGTTACGCAAAGTGTTAAAATTACGTGCCGTTTATTTTTTTTGTAAAACACTTTTTTGAGATAAAAATATGTTTGATGACTGACATTGTAAACTTTTTTTAATGAATTTCGAAAAGTTAAATTTCTTTTTCTTTTTACAAGATGTCATAGTTACTTTATCGGACGCCCAACTTTGATCAACCTATTTCAATAACACTTCTAGGTTATTTTTAAGAATCTTTATTTTTATATACACTTTTAACATGTCTTTTAAGGTACTTTTATCTATTTAAATTAGGAATATAAATATTCTACAAAAAAGTTCATACTTTTAAGTATTGCTTTTAAACTAATTACCAACTGAAATCTTTTTTTGTTAACAAGCTGCCCTAATTACTATCTCGGGCGCCCAACTTTGAACAATTTTTCTGTTCATAATTTAAGGTTTTAAGAAAATTGAATTGTTTACACTTACTGTTTAGGTTCTAAACGATTTAGTTTTTGCAAATCTCTTATATGATTTAAAAATTGGTATTTATGTTTCTTATTTTATTTGTATTCTACTTAATTTAACTTTAAGTAAATGGATAAAACTTTTACTTTTTTTTTTTCTTATTTGAGAAGTCATCATAAATGTTTTTTAAAAGGAAAACTTACGTATTAACGTACCCGAATTTGTCAAAGTTCATTAAAAATTATTTGAGGAACGTAGAATGTCTGCAGTTATCTTGTTTTAATCCCAATTCTGCATGTTATTTTGCTTTAATCCCAAGTCTGCATGTTATTTTGCTTTAATCCCAATTCATTTTGGTAAATTTATTACAAAACTTTATTATCTAACTCCAACACAAATTCAGGGTTTCCTTAAATTAAATTAGGGTAGAGTGAGGAAGGTGCTCAAGACCAAGTCTTTGGTCTCAAGACCTACATCTCTGCTTAATGCTTCTTCTGATTAATTTTTTTCTCCGATATAATCATTTAGCATGCAACGTCGAGTTAAAAATTTTTGTATTACTATGATATAATAATACAAATATATATTTGTGCGTTTTTAAGTGCTCAATATTGTTAAATAATAGAACAGCATATTTTGAGTTATTTTAATGAGTTAAATTTTTTTCAATAAATTTTTTATTGAAAAAAATTTTATTTTACATTTTAAGCTGTCAACAATCATAATTTTATTCCAAATCAAAACCATACTACCCTTATGGAAACAGTTAAACAATCAACTTTTAGGTGTTTTTGCCCAGCTATCAAAAAAACTTTGTAAGAAAAAAGTTAATTGTTACCGAATAAAAATAATTCAGAAGTAAACTTTATCAAAAGTTTTATTTTAAAACACTGAGTCCTTTCTAAAAGAAAAATACCACCAACCAAATAATGAACAGCAAATTTTTCTCTTAATGATTTTTTATAGAATCTCAATCATCCTCTAATACACTATATCTAGTATGCTATAATACACTCATCTCAACGATGCTACAACACACTATCTCGTGCATGCTACAATACACTGTCTCAAGTATGCTACATTACACTATCTCAAAGATGCTACAATACACTATCTCGTGCATGCTACAATAAGTAGCATGCACGAGATAGTGCATGCTACTTATTGCTACATAATAGTTTGCAGTACATTATATCTTGCAGAAGAAAATTGGTACCCTCAAAACCTTTTTTATTACAAATAATATAGAAGACGCATGCTAACGAATATAACTAAATAGATTTTTTTACTACACCAGGAAAAAAAATCCATCTCATTACATATTTGTGAGTAACCAAAAATTTTCTTCCTACATATAATATAAAATGTCTTACATGCAGTGCAATCTAAGCTTACAGTACTTAAAATTGAAGATTCCTTTATAACTTCCAATTTGCAGCGGCTGAAAGCAGCCCAGATACGTTCTTTACAAATATCAGCCCTGATGCGTTCTTTACTAAAAGCAGTCTAGATATGTTCTTTTTTGTTTTTTTAATATTACTTTTATACTCACATTAACATTTCGTTGATTTAATGGCTTCCCGAATGTAATCACAGTATCTGCCATCTTCAAAAGTTATATTTTTCTCAATATTTAACAAAGAAACCAAATCTTAATTTCTTGGTTCTCATTTTTCAAAATATTTGTCTTATTATTGTGGCAACTTGTGTCTTTCATTTTTCTCATTAAAATAGATTTTTTTTTTTAAATTTAAAACAATTTTTGATTTATTTTATTTTTGTTATTTTTTTTGTTTTTGTTTTTGCGACTAGTTTTTCTTTTGAGTTAATTTAAAAATATTTTTATCTTAACTTTCAAAAATTGAATTAATAACTTAATAGTGATAACTTTTGTTTTTTAGTTATGAAAATTACTTTTTATTATTTTTTATTTTTAACTGAGCATCACGGTATTTTACTTTTTTATTCGGATTTTTAAAATAAAATAAGTTTTTTTTTATTTAAGTAAACTTAGTTTATTCTTAATAATATTAATAAATTCTTAAGAGTTTTAAATAAAATTCACTTTTGATAAAAGAAATTTTTGAAATAATTTCTTGATTGTTCTACATATTTTCAAAATTTTTAAGATGCATCAAATTACTCAATTGAGAATCCGTTTTTGATTTAATTTTCTTTTTAAATATTTTCTTCCTTTTTTGAGCACTATTTATATATTCTAATTTGGATTCCAGAACTTTTATTCATTAAATTTCAAAACATTTATTTATATTCCTAAAATCCTTTTTTTGTAAAATTTATACCGTATTTGACAGTTTCTTACAGTTTTTCAAGTATTCAAACTTATTCCTTTAAATAAGACTAGTTTGAGATAAAACAAAACATTTTTAAATTTAAAATGTTTTGTTTTAAATTTTTAAATTTAATCTAAATTCATTAAAAATTAAAATTTAATTAAATATGTTGTTAGATTTTATCTAACGTCATTATTTTATTCATATTAGGCGAACTTTTAAATAATATTTCACTAAGTTATTAAAGAGTTAATTCGGATTAACTTTTGTACTTTGATTACCATTGCACTATCCTAGGTGTTAAAATTGATAGTCATAAATAGCATTTAATAATACAGAAGTATTGTAACAACGTACATTATTTTCAATATGTATTAAGTATTGTAAATATGTATTGTAAATTTGTATTGTGAATATGAAACAACAGTAACAATGTAGATTAACTTGTTGTAGTTTTGTTTTTTACATTTATTCTTTTACGTATTAAATGCATACTTAGACCAAGTATATGGTCTAAGTATGCATTTAATCATGTTAAAGATATTTAATTTGAAAATTTAAAAGCAAGAAAACTCTAAGGATTCAGAAGCTTTAGTTGGCCACCCAGTTTTTAAAATATAGTAATATATTTAAATAATTCTTTTTAGATTTCATGATAAATAGTTAAACAAACTATAAAGTAGCAATGAATAAAAAGTAATGTAAAGTTTTTCCGACGAAATTTATGTTTTTAGGCATTTGATTTTATAAACCAACCTTTAGTTTGTGTTAAGCCATTTGTAGGCCTTTGTATTTTTATCATCGATACTTTGTGTTACTTATGATCAAATATCGTTTCTAGAATCTGGAAATGACAGATCACTCCATGTTCTACCCAACCTAATTTTTCGTGACAAGATGGTAAAGCTTATGGTTTTTTAAAGTATATTTAAAAATTTAGGTACTTTAACAGCTATTTTTAAAAGACGGAGTTTTGCGAAGCTTTATAGGTTACCAAAAAAACAATAATCTATGAGTTATTATCTAAGTATGCAATTTAAATAATTAATAGAACTTGCATAACGCGGTTGGACAATATATTGTTTAAAGCGATTACTATTGATTTTTCAAAGCAATTACTTTACAAGAGTAGTTACCAGGTTCTTCCTTACCAAGGGTATTTTCTTTACCAGGAAGTTTTTCTTAACCAAGCAATTAATTATCATTGTCTGTATATGAAGCTAAAAACATATTAATCAAAAAATTGTCAACAGATTTTATTATTCATTTTTTTATTGCCATTTCAACTCGCCCAATAAGTTTCAAAAAGTGTTCTACCATTTAAACCATTGCTTACAAAAATAAAAGCTTAAAATACTTACCAACTAAACGTATATAACATTTTATGCTTTATGTTTAAGTGTATACTTAAAAGAATATTTATCTCCTTGTTTATTACAAAACTTTTGTATAATAAAATTAAAAAAAAAATGATATGTGTCCTGAAAAGTACAATAAAGCCCCTTTTTTCAAAGCAAATATGATCAATTTTGCGTTTCTTGCCGTGGTACGTATCTCTGGAACAATATAATTATACCAAATATTGGTTTTCCTATTAATATGACTTTAGTTTCTTCAAAAAAAAGTTAACAATTTTTTTTCTTCTAGAAAACATTATTTATTTCTAACGACTTTATCTCTTTGATTTTATTTTAAGCTAGTTAACATATTTGACTATAAAATATATCGCTACAAATGATCTTCTAGAAATTCTTCCATTATTATCAACAGGGGCGGATCCAGCATATTTTGGTGTTTGAAATAGCTAACTTTCTGGTATGGGGTAAATTGTGGTAAAAGTTATAGAGATTTTTTGTTCCCAGGCTCCAATCATTGCAATTTTTTGAAAGCATTTTTAACTGACATAAGTATAAACATATAAATGTTTGGAATTTGTTTCGTGTCTGGAAATTAAATATCTCAAGTAACAAAAAAAGCTAGATCTTATCTGTTATTTAACGGTTTGAAATCGGAGCAATGTCCTCCAGCAAATTCTATTGCAAGAGAACTTCTTAAAATATCGGTTTAAAATGGATGAATTTCTTGCAAGTGGTAATTTCGAAAAAGGAAACCTTAAAAAAAAAAAAAACAACTAAAAGTTTATAAAACTAAATGATTTAATAAAAACGAAGAAAACATAAGAGTTTTAATAAAAAAAGGTTATAAATAGTTTTCTATTTCTACAAAAAAAAAAAATTCTTTAAAAAAAAAAATGGGGGAGGAAGGGGACAGCCCCATTTTTATGGTACTTTTATGCTAGCGGTAGTTTTTAGTAACTTTTTATAAAGAAAAACATTTTTGTCTTTAATGTTTTACATGAGATTAATTTTCAATTTCGTTAAAGCTTTTGTTTTTTTTTTCCAATTTTTGCAGTATATTTATTATTTTATTTGTTACGTGTTGGAAGTTGAACTTTAAAACTTAAATAATAAAAAAATTAGTTTGAGTGTGAATTGTCAGATTGACACAAGCATTAAATCAGTTTGTTAATGTTTATTGCTGCCATTTCGAAAATAAGTTACATTTAAAAAATATTTTGGTTTGCAAGCAACTCTTATGCCACCGTATAGCAAAATATGATAGTGTTTAATGTTTTATTCAAAATATCTTTGTTTGTACTAAGGTATGATTTTAGAAAAATTATTACCGATGAAAAAGTTAGAGTTTTAATAGAACTTCCTTTAATAAAAAATCAATAACGAACTTGAAACTAAATTTGTTTATAAGTTAGATTGAACAGGGTTTTCCAGTTTGAGCTTAAAAAAAATATGTAACTATGCCAACTAAAAATGAAAAAAGTGCATTTTAGTAAAGAAACGTTATACTTTGTGCAACAAAAAAATCCAAAACATCTTTTCTTTTATTGAGTACCAGGTTGAATTTTTTTGAAAAACTTTTTTTTGTCTTGGTCTTGTTTTTAAAGCTTGGAGTTTTGGTCGTGGTCTTGAAAACCTGGAGTATTGCACCTTCGCACCTTTGCTGTCTCTTAAAATTATCAATGTAATTAATGGATTAGTAATTAATTACAAATTGTTTATCACTGCAACTTTAAGCTCTCAAAAAGATTTGTTTCTAGAAAGACATGCACTCTATTTCTTTACCAACATTGCCAAAATACAAGTTGTGAAATCAAGCGATTCATAGCTGTCCGTTTGACTATACATAAAATAAATAAATACAAGTTGTGAAATCAAGCGATTCATAGCTGTCCGTTTGACATAAAATAAATAAATAAAATAATTAAACTTTACTTAATTTTTTTTTTTTAATTATAGTATGTGGCTACTGGCCTAGCATGTCTGATATAAGTGTGCTATTTTTAGTTTTACAGTGTAATGGTCTTTCGCTTTTTTGTATTAGTTCAGTTAGTTTTTAGCAATACAATAAACTTGTCAATTCTTTGTTATTATTAAAGATATATTTTGTAGACTGCAGTAGTACACTTCATTATATACGATAACGTGTTATCGTATATAATGAAGTGTACTACTGCAGTTATTATAGCTATGTAATAACTGCAATAGTGAAATATGTCATTAAAGAGTAATGTGTACAAATGATAAAACAATACATCAACCAAAGGCCTAATAGTATACTTGTGTGAATATTATTGTATTGAACTTCTAAGAACCTAAGTCCTGATCTAGGTCTTTTTAAAAGATTTTAAAAGTGGTCTTGAAGTCTCAAGACTTCAAGAAAAAAAATCAAGACTAAGTCCAAAAAAATATATTTTTGCAACTGAAGTTGTAAAAACAACTTTTTTGAAAATACATAAAAATTTTATTGAAAAATCTAGAAGTTAAGGATTAAAAAGTTACTACGACGTTGCTAAGGACGTTGCTGAGGAAAAAAGAAGTTGCATCATCTACAAAAATTGTAATTGTTTTTATTTTTAAAGCATATAATAGTAAAAATATAGACTTGATAATTCAATAACAAAATTCACAAAATTCACAATAAAAAAATTTAAAAGGGTGTGTCACTATAAAAATTAGTTTTTAAAGCGATACACCACCATGCTAGTTTTTAAAGCGATACACCACCATGCTAGTTTTTATGCATCTAATCTCTGAGCAATAATAAACAATATTTTGATAAGTTTAATATATTTTCTACAGTCAGATTTTAAGCCGATAAAGTTTCTTTTTCAAAGCTAAATATAGAGTGCTCAATGTTCTTAAGGAACAGAGCAATAATAAACTAGTAAAAGCATGTATATATATATATATATATATATACATATATATATATATATATATATATATATATATATATATATATATATATATATATATATATATATATATATATATATATATATATATATATATATATATATATATATATATATATATATATATATATATATATATATATATATAATATACTTATCTAACATTTTCATAACTTTTTGATCATCTTTCTGACAATACAAAAGGCGATTTGGTAATATATATATATATATATAAATAAAAAAAAAGATAAAAAAGTTTATGTACATGATAATGAAGCTGCGTGTTACGTAGATTTAAAAAAAGTTAGATGTAAAAAAAGTTAAATGTTAATGTTTTTTTTTTTATTTTATTTTTTTATTTTTTTTACTAAATTACATTATTTGTTATTTATTATAAAGCTTATTTGTTATAAAACTGCATTTAAAATTTTGAATTATTAGAATTAAAAGAACTTTGAAAGTATTATTTCCAAATAAAAATTAGACAATTGAAAAACTTTTTGCTTTAAAATGTTTCAAATCTGTCTGTTGTTTTTAATTTTATGTTTACCCATGTTTTATGTTTCCCCGTTTTAAATATCTTGAAATCCACTAACCTTTTTACTTATAGACAATCAATGATAATTGCTTTTTTTTATATTTTTGTTAATGATAAACAATATAGGATAATGTGATGTATGTTTATAAATTATTTCATTGATTTCGCTAAAGAGTTTTTTACTTGAACAGAAAATGAAATCGAACAAAAAATGAATCAAATGAATCTACTAAAGAAAATTAATCCAAAGTATGACACCAAAAAAAAATAATACTACAATCTGACAAATATCAAAGGAACTTAACCGTACGGAAGGAAATTTAAACGCAATCGAAAACAGTTTTTTTTTTGACTCACCTAAAATGCCATTTTTCAGTGATGATATTAATTGTCTTCGTAATCAACGGAAAACATTCAAAATCTTTTAATAGTTACGTGTAAAATTGCTTTTAATGTAGCAAATCTTAAGACAATACTGGGATGATAGCCATATTAAAGATTGTCGCCACTTCTTCAAATATTTTTTTGTTATACGAAAAAAAAATAGTCAAATATTTATTTCTCTTTTTAAAAATGTAAGTTAGTAAACATGACTTTTTAAAGTCATGATATGATCATTAATTCTGCGGCTTTTGGGTCGGAATCTTTATCAAGTCAATCGCATTTGCTAAAAAGCACGGTTCCACGCCGCGTTATTGTTTAGGGGAAAATGCAAATTACTAATTTGTATGATGTTACAAAACTACAACGGAGACGCCGTTTTTTGTTTTAATGTAATGAATTACTTTGAATGAAAATTAACACTGCCTTTTCTTGGCTTTACTTTTTTTTTTTTTTTACCTTGGTCATTGCTTAATGATAAACATTTCCGTTTATTTTTTCACCTACGTATTAGCAAACAAGATATACGCAATGACATACTGACGCCAAAAATCTGTTGTAAAGAATTTCAAAAGATAAATATAGAAATTATTTCTTAATTGTTTACGAAGTAATGTGATTGGCTAGAAGATAAAATCCTTAGGCTGGTAGCGTAAAAAACATTAAGTCTAAATAAAAGAAGTTATCGAGTGCAATGTAGTTTTATACAAATACCGAAGTGTTAAAATATTTAATGTATATTTTACAAACTTTTGTTATAAGTATTAATATTTAATAAAAATGAAAGTCAAATTTGAAACATCTGGCTGGCTGTTTGCACAATATCAACAAAGACTACCTATTCTGTTAATAGATTGCCGTCCATTTTGTGATTACTCTAAAGCACATATCGAAGGTGCTATAAATATTTCTGTACCTTCTCTTATGATTCGACGCCTAAAAAAGGGAAATGTACCTATAAAAAAATTTATAAATTCAGAGTTTGCAAAAACTAAATACGACGAGCGAAGTCGTTATAATAAGGTGGTAATATACGATGAGAGATCTTGTATGAATGATAATTTAGAGAATACCCTTCTAGAATGTCTCTTACAAAAACTTTCGGAGGATAGTCATGTCGTAACGTTAAATGGTAATGAATTCAATTATTTTATTTCGAAAAAAACATTTTTTGTTTGTTATATTAGTTTAATGTCGTTTTGCTATCCGATTTCTTTAATGTTGAAGAAAAAATAAATAGTTAATAAATAATAAATATTTAGGAAAGGATAAATATTATATAAGTACAAATATATAACATTGTTTACGTATTAATCTATGCACTATAATATATGTAATAACTAATTACATATAAGTTTTTTACACTATTTTTAAAAATAGTGTTAAGATTTTTAACTGTTTATATTAGATATTTTTTATGAAGAAACTCAAATTTTTTTATTCCTATACTTCTTTCAAATGTTTATCTTGTAAAATATTATGGTGATCAGATCTATTTTCATACCCATATCCCTTTGTCTGTTATAAGTAAAAAAACATTGTGAATAAATCTTTCTTTTCCTCAAATGTAAACTATCATGTTGATAAATTTTTATTCTGATCAAATTATATATCAATTTTGAAGTCAATTAACAGGTTTTTTTTACATCGTATAGTATGAAATTAAATAATCATAAAGGCGAAATTAAAGAGTAATAAAGGTTTTCACAAGAAAAAATACCAATTTTTATGAGACGTAAAACATTAATTTTTTATGAGACATATAACACTAATTTTTTATGAGACATAACACTAGTATGATCTGTGTTCAAAATATATAATATACACAAAAATGTCAAACATGTTCAGTAAGTTCAAAAAGCAACAAGTCTTTTAAATATTTTATTAAACTTCTTTTATATATATATTTTTGATCATTTTTTCAATAAAAAATGAAAAAGTTTTTTGTAAGGTTTATTTTTTTAAGTATTATTTAATTTTTTTTTAATTTCAATTTTATTTTAATATATTTCAATTTAAAAAAATTACACTTCCCACTAGTACAATGTTTAGTAGTCAACCTCCAAAAAGAATAAAATTATTATCTAATCTTTGAAACCCAGTTCCATTTTATTACATTTAGGAGTTTAATAAGACTATTTAAACTTGTTGTTTTTGAAACCATTCTAATCTAATAAAATATGTAAGATAAACTAAATAAATCAAAACTGTTATATTTTTTCATTTTAAATTATTATATTGTTTATTTAACTAGGTTTGTTTTGTTTATAGGTGGTTTTGCAAGTTTTGAGGAGTTGTTTCCTCATCTTTGCCAATGTGGTGAAGGTGTTGAACTTGGGAATGCTATGTACAGCCTTTCTAACTTAAAAATAGCTAGTATAATTTCATCACCAGTTATTCATGACTCTAATAGGAATGTTATTGAAATATTTAACGTTAAAGATTTACATTTTAAAACTGAATCATCTGGACCCATAGAAATATTGCCTCAATTGTTTTTGGGTAACAAAACTGATTCTTCTTGCATTGACTTATTGAGAAAATTCAATATCACTCATATTTTAAATGTAACTCATGATTTACCTAATTTATTTTATGAAAGCAAAGAGTTTGAATATCTGCAAATACCAATACAAGATAATTCAACTGGGAATGTATTAGACATGTTTCCAATTGCATACAAATTTATAGGTATTTTTTATTTTATTTTTACATATTTGCTATTATGTAACCTAATATATAACTTATATAAATACTTGCATAGTGCAAGAAATGCTACTGATGATGTCATTCTAGTATAAGGATAGGCACTTCAGTCCATTTGAGGGTTTTGGATTTCTTTTTCAGTCCATTTGAGGGTTTTGGATTTCTTTTTCAGTCCATTTGAGGGTTTTGGATTTCTTATGGCAAATATATATATATATATATATATATATATATATATATATATATATATATATATATATATATATATATATATATATATATATATATATATATATATATATATATGTATATGTATATATATATATATATATATATATATATATATATATATATATATATATATATATATATATATATATATATATCTTCATTTTCTATAAGTCTCAAGATTAAAGTGTGCATTTCATAACATATATTGCAAATATATTAGTACAGTGCTTTAGTTTAAAAAACAACAATGTTTTATTTTAAGTGCTTTTTTACTTTCTGAATTCCAATTAAAATCAGTTGTAATTTATTAGAAATATTAAAATACAAACCATATGAAATACTATTTGTACATAAATTCAGTTATATATAAATTTATTATATCTTTTTTTTCAAGTATTTTAAAACTATTTTAATTTTGTTAGAAAATGCTATTGACGCTGGTGGTTGTGTCCTTGTTCATTGTTTGGGAGGAATATCTAGATCAAGTACTATCATTATAGCTTACCTTATGATTAAATATAGATTCTCTCTTAATGAAGCTTATGATCATGTCAAGAGTAAGAAAAGAAACATTGCACCAAACTTTACTTTTATGGGACAGCTGTTAGACTTAGAGCAAAATAAATGTTTGTTTAATGTTTATTCTAAAAATATTAGTCCAATACAAAACGTACAGAGTGACATTTCATACTTATCAAATGATCTTGTTAATAACTCCTGATGATTTAACCTGTTTGAAATATCGAAATTCTTTTATATACTTTAATTAATTATGCATTAGTCATGTCACTTAAAAATTAAATATGATTACATTATATATACGTATAAGTCATACATGACAACATTTTATATATACATATATTTATATTTATATAAGCCATATATGTTTTTTTTTTTAATTTTTTTTTTGTATATGTTTTATAATATTTCTGCAGTTACAATCATGTAATATATAGTTCATACTTATATGTTTAATATTTATGTACATGTAATGATTGCATCTATTCAATAGTTACATATAAGTAATGCGTCTTCATATTTTCTATGTGCATATTTGAGCTTTTTTCTACACATTTACTAGCTATATGTATTACATTTTTATAAAGTATTCTCTCTAGAAAATTAATTGTTGTATTATAATATTTTGAGATATTTATTGGCTTGCAGTAAAAATAAATAATTGTAATTTTATGTTAAAATTATAATTATTCACATTTACTTGATGGGCATCTTGGATTTTTTTAATTTTTTATATTCCTTTCCGATGTATTTTATATTCTTATTGATGTCTTTTTCAAGTGCATTTGAAAGTAATATGTATATAGAAAGTTATTTTTTACAACATTGTCGTTGAAAGAAAGAAATTATGAGAATTGTTTTTTTTATTTCTGTTTTTTAAGTACTTGAATTTAGAAGGGATTGTTTAAATAATTTATCAGAATAGTTAACATTCCTTACTTATTTAAATCTAATATTTAAATCTAGTAGTTTATCAGTTCGATCTAATTTTTCTATTCCCTATTTTAAAACGCAAAAAAGTCTCGCAAACTTTTTCCGAAAGAAGTTAAAAATTGCTTATGCATTTGGTTTTTGACAAATGAAATATCAGTATTTTAAAGTTATAAACATAAGTTAACGAATAAATATTACGAAAATGTCTAAATTTTCGT